AAAATGCACTAGACAGAAAAATATGCATTAGCAAATTGCACATTGTAGCACATATTACTTCAGTGCGAATTTCACTACGTGTATACTAGTAACAGAGCTGAGGAAAAAACAGATGGCAAACAAAAATTCCCTATACGCAGATTGTGCTCTAGGTTAGGCTACACAGCAATTGCAAGAAATCCCTCAAATTTGCAAACTTGACCACTTGCAATTACAACTTCCTTGTTATCTACTCACTTTTGATCATCTTACATGTTGCTTAGCGTCGTACGGCGTAACAAAAGAGCGAACAATTGTGCGCGTTTTTGCAAGATGCTTGCGCAACATCGGTGCAGTGCCTCCTAAGCGCGTAAGTTGTAGGAAGAAGCATTCATATAAGACGATGATATCGAATCAGAATAAAGACATTATCCTCAAAACCTGACTAGTGGCAAGCTAGACTGAGATGGGAACGAAAAGCATTTTACAAAAATTCAGAAAAGTCTCCTGTCGTCGCCATTGAGCTAAATTAGTGAGATAGATAGCATAGATAGCATAGATAGAATAGTACTTTTCAGTACATTCGGAAAGCTCTCTCGCATTCGCGAGCTCCTATAAAGTGACTAAAGCGTTATCAGACAGTGTTGCTGTTAGCCATATTCACCATATTCATCAGGTTGAACTTCTGCCGCCATGTCTTTTACCTGCTGATTGCATCCCGCAACAGATATCACCCACCTCAGCGAGGAGAATACTTCAATTCAAAAAGCGGTTGCAAATGTGATCCTTATCACAAAAACGTTTTCATTTCTTTAACGTACCCATTCTCTTTTGCTCCCTCTCCGTACCGAATATTTGGCTGCATCTCAAAAATCTTCTAAACTCTCAAGATAAGATTGTGCAGAGATGGCCATGTAACGCATTCGATGAGATGTTTCAACTGCACGCTTATCTTCCCTAACTTGCAAATGAATGCTCATAAAAATGTAATATATAATCAAGAACGGGATCTCCTCTTTTGTGGATCCATCACATGATAAAGGCGTAAACCAGTGCGGCCTATTCTCCGGATCAAATAGACAGCAAAGAATCCACGAGAAGCCATCGTTTGGCGGTTCTTCGGTGATTATGACGTTTGGCGTATTGCTTCGTCCGGGCCGCGAGGGCGATCAATAGCACCAGCGCGCTTGCCACTGGCGCTATCTCGTGACGATCCATGCAACCAGCTGCGAAACACCTATTCGTCCAAAAGAAATCAATGTCTGTAGGCTCATGGTTCCAACACAGGTTCCAGCGAATATAGAATGATTCTTCGGTGACTGACGATGTCTCATATGCCTAAAGTGAATAAACCGCCTACCAATAGTTGGATTGTTTGAGCGGTACATACAAGATCGCTCAAGTCTAGAGCGGCCAAAAAGTGGCGGAAACATAATATTTTTAGTTTTCCTGTTATCCTAAATCAGCAAATAATCCAATTCCTAATAGTCTAGCCACTTTTTACAGCTTTTACTCTTTCGCCACTGACTCACCTTGAAAGAAATCTTGCTCAACACCAAACGTAGACTATCTAGTTACCATCGCCAGATGAACACTGCGCATGTCCAATCTCGGCTTGCGTGCTTCCCTTCTGTACGAACAACATAAGAAGAAGTATACACGCAACCATATTAAAACGAGTGCGTGCATATAACATTTTATGTCCTCGTCGAAGCAAAAAAAAGGAGTACACTTCATCCAGTTTATTGAACTTCAGTTCACTAATACTGATACTCTTCATTAAGCGTCAGCATACTAGAAAACTCGATCGTTATGCAAAAGTAGCATCTTCAAACGGAGCACATCAAGCAAGCAAATTCCAAACCACCAAAGCTTTTACCTGTCGAATACGTGTGTTGCCACGTGCGTTTATCATTTTGTTACAGATCCTTTAGGGAGGCGAAACTTCCGAACCGCAAGTGAAGAAAGGGAGAAAGAAGATTATTGAAATAGTTGGTTCACAAAATATTCACGCAACAAGCAGAATCTGATATTTTAGATATACCACGGCCAATAGCAAGATACTATGCGATGACCGCGCAACTGCATCATAGTATTGCGAAATCAAAAATTCTGCAAACAATGAAGGCTTGTCAGTGCGCATTCGATTTCGTTATGATTTTATACGGAAAACTTTCGGAATTCGCCGTTTCACGCGGTCTTTCGAAATCCATAATTTGCTTGTCGTTGAAATGGATTGTACTCTAGATACTGGCGCTGCAGTCCAAGTGCTCGTTTTTGCATAGTGACTAATGATATCGATCGTCGGCGCTCTTTCGCGCTCTTTTTGATTTTTGCTGTCGTAATATAACACAGAACAGAATGAAAGCAACATATGAATGAGAAACAGTTAACCTGAACTTTAAGCATACACACACACTCTTCAAAATCAGACATACGATACGGTAGCGTTGCGCATCAGGTCGTGATTTGCTCCGCCTTAGATGCTCACATGGAAGCTGTTGGCCTCGTCTTCCCCTTTCATCTTTCTTTGAATACCACTACAGGATCAAATCTGTACACCTTAATGCAGCAAGGGTTAGCAGGAAATATTAGTGCCTACACCTTCACATGAAGTTTGCCTTTCTGTACGTCTTTCCACTGAACCATCACCATGTCGAGAAGCAAACATGAGAAACAAGCCTTGAAGCTTTCATATTTTCAGCGATTTCTAGGCCATCTCGCGTACTCGCTCGCACACTCAAACAGCGATACCTTGCTAAAAGGGCGTCATAACTGATTCGCCAAAATTATCTTCTCGTCCTCTCGGGTGTATGTCGAAAGACGCGCGTTTCGGCAGTAGTCATTGCCAGAAGGGATTTGCACTTTACAGAAGTGAGGCTTCCAAATTCCTAAAGTTTTGTTCATATCAGAAATAGTAACAGAGGATTACTAATTAATATCCCCGAAGTACTGAACCGTATTCGAACTTTTTTTTTTGGTTTTTCTGATTGGTGATAGTCGCTCAATACCGCCATTCGACCGTCTTCCCGTCCTCTCTCATCTCCTACTATGTTTCCATTGATAAAGACAGAGGAAAATGACTACTTGTTAGTGAAGCTTAGCAGACTGGGTGCTGGCGTAATTCTCGGCCATAGGTGAGTCAGCGACGCAGACAATGTATGCTTGCAAGCACTAGCGGCACCATTCTAGCTGCCTGTGTATCTCTCTTCAGATCTCCACTCTGTAAAACACAGGTTCCTAGTGAGCCTGGTGCACCTTCAGCGCTGTACAATACCGCCCTTTTTTTTCAAGAAAGACCCACAATAGTCCCATGTGAGATCACCGTACCGTGGCCATATTCTCGCTTCAAAGTGGACTAATTTTTAATCCAAAGACAGCATCCGCCTCAGCTCGGCGCTGCGCATTTTCTGATTCATAGAAGTGCCCGCTTGGACACAGTAGGAGGCCAGATATCATGATAATCAGTGTGCTTCTTCACTGCACTCACTGGCCAATTTACCGTAAGCAAAAATCTGGAACGATTTGTAGAATCTGGCCTCCTACTGGGTCCAAGTGGGGACTTCTACATAGCAGAAGATGCGCCGCGCCGAGCTGAGTCGAAGATTAGTGCACTTGGATTGAAAATTTGTCCGCTTTGAAGCGAAATATGTCCACGCTACGGTGATGTCACATGAATCGGGCGACCGTGCGCCTTTTCTTCAGAAATCACGAGCGGTCTTGCATGTAAATAATTTGACCTCTTTCTAAAAAAAACATAAACTCAAGTTCTAATGAGGCACTCTTCAATGTGAGACTTACCCGCTGCACCTAGCTAGGTAGCAGCGACGGGCCATGAGTGGCGAAAATTATTGAAATCGGAAAATTTTTAGTAATTTAAATTGATTCAAAATTTGTAGGGGCGTGGCGGAACGCCCCTGATTTCATTTTGAGGTATAAGCTGGTTGAGTCTAAAGCATCGCAACGATGTTTCCGTTTCCGTTTTGGTGGCTACGATTTGGAAGAAATTTGCTGCCGCCTTCCCTCGAAAAAATTTCTTGGACGCCAATTGTTGAGCAGGCAAAACATTTGCATAAGTTAGTTTTAAAAAATCTCATACTCAGTATATGGTGATGCATTAAACAGGTTTAGCTGAACTAGGAACGTGAAAACTTTGAAATTGCGGTTAGCTAGCAATAGCAAAAAAACTACTTTTGAAAAAAAGCAGAAAAATACATGCGGGGAGTAGAGTTCTTATCATTGTTCTGAATTTCAGTTGAAAGTCAGATCTGAAGAAAAACCTACGGTTGGCCAAGCGCTAGGTCATAAAACCCAATTATTCCATTGTAAAGATAACACAAGCGATTTATCTCATGGAGAAGACTCTTCCTACCTAACCCTTGTGATAAGCGGGTTGGAACTCGTTCAGAGCGCTAACAAACTCTTATTCAATTTGTGGACGAAGAAACTTGCCAGTGCTGGCTCTCCCCATTACGTTGTCATCTATTAAACTGGAGAAAATTTCGGAAAAAAAAGCAAAAGCTCATTATTCTCCACGAATCGATGTATTCAGCTAGATGTATAGCCGTGCATCATAAATAGCTGTGTTCCGATATGCAAACAAGACCCAACCCAAGAACAGCACAATCTCCTTTCCTAGCTTGAGTCTTGCTCTTTTCAATGAAATGTCACACTACTCTTCCCGCTATCACATACCACAGCACAGTTTGTCATCTTGATGACTTTTTGGCGAGTGCAAGTCATTCTATCCTCTTTACTGCTTTGCACTTTCGGCGAGGAGCAGAACCGAGCAGAACAAGTGCAAATTAGTAGCAGGGAGTAGCTGCGACCCTCTAAAGGCTTTATTTATCGCAAAGCGTCTTCGTACGGCTTCCAGAGGAATAAACCCTACAAGAAAACGTACAAGCTCGCAATCAATAATCTAGCGAGGCGCATGTTCGGGGGCGGCGGCCGAGTAGAGAGAGAGACAGCGGCTATTGACAACGACTAGTTTGTTCGATGGCCACAAGCTGGCCGCTCGAATGACTCCGTACCTTGCCGCATGTCGATCGATTATCGATCGCGATCATGAGTCAGCAACTGCTATCGGTGGACTATATGTGTGTGTTTGTGACCTTTACCAGCACTCTTTTTCGGTACAAGGTCAGGGTGCCGGCACGTTTCCCAACTAGATTCCATTCAAAGCCAATGTTGTTCCGCGCTACGAGCGGGTTTTCAGACGGTTCAAATCCTGTTGGATGTACTATAGCTACAGCTTCCAGTTTGCTTTGTCATATCCACTAAATCTTTTTCTCGCTTCAGGCTTAACAACTGTTGGTATGAGTTGGAAAGAAAAACTGCATGTTGGACGTGAATTTCTCGACATTATTGATTTCCGGAGTTTTTCGATTGATTTTGCACAATCTTACATGGCATTATGAATTTCATAACATGTTTAATCGCCCACAGACTGGCAGTGCTCTACGCTGAGCAGCATGACGATCACACCACATGTGAATTTTGACTGTTTACGAAAATAATTCTCATAAGAGTTGCACGTTTGACGAGATGGGATCGTATGCATTAGGAGAATTGTCAGCAATTTGAGTGCGTACCCTCGATCAGGGCACAGCGGCGGCGGACGATCGATCTCCACTCAGTTTTAGGGGCTGATAAACACATGTTTGACGGAGTTATTACATGGGCTTGAAGTGCGCTTAGTTAGTCTGAGTGTCTGCCTCAACTGGTAAACTGAACGGGCTGGAGCATACAGATTCTTAGTTACCCATAGCATTAGAGATAAAGTTTACCCAGACTATTTCTGCCTTTCTTTGCACAGAAAAGCTAGATCAAATAGAATGCTGTTCTTTTACTTCAACTAAGAGTCGGTAGTAAACTAGTTCTATTGCTGTAAGTGTCACTTAGCATGCAACGAAGTTGAATGTCGGGAATTATTGATCGCTTGGCATCATCGCGGCGCTGCGCATTGCACGGCACGCCAATCAATACGAAACATTTCGCGGTGGGTCGCATCAGCGGTAAGGACGCTAAGCGTTTTTTGAGCTCAAAGGTGCTAATGTGCACAATTTTGTACGTCACCGATCAACATCTAGAGTAAGACTTCTTCCGGTATTCCTTTGCGCGGACAGGAATGGTGGGTTTTGGGGCTAAAGAAAAGGAACCTGTCTTCAAACTAGAAACATGATATCAGATCGACATCTACTTTCTTGCAGTGTCGTTCGTGAGTAAACCATCCATTGTTTACTGTTGATTTTTCTTCACATTAGGGTCATAGGAAGCACACTCGTCTTGCTAGCTCCTGTAGTGCTGAACCAACTCTCCCTCATGTTAAAGAAATGCGGTATTTTTGCCGTAGAATCGAGCGAATCAATACCAGTATTGCCTATCACGTGCAATGGTGTATAAGTCCAACAAAACTTTGTTTGATTAGGCCGATTCTCGCAACATGTTTTGAATTTCGGGCACCACTATCATTTTATGAACTTGATAGCGCACATGGTACATATATAATCACCTGAGCTGTCACTCTCCGATGATGTGCAAATTTACAATCCGTAAAAATCAAAGGTGCCTCAGATGCACTCATTGCGGACCTGTGAACCTGAATTGATGCTGGACCATGCTTTTTCGTGGCTGAACAAAACTTGACACGTTAATTTAGGTGGACAGGTTAACGCAATGTGGACTGTGTGACGATTTGCTTCCAAGAACTACACCAAATTTGTGACTCATATCACTGTCTTCTTGGCCCATACTCTCCCCCCCCCCCCCCTCCCTCCCTTCCCTTCCTCCTTTCACCCCCTATCTGCTTTGCTAGGAATGTCGTTATTATGCAATCAGGTCTTACTTGTTTGGTACTCCTCGAATCAGTACTTCAAATGTTAGCATAAATAAACGTCTTCTACTTGTGTTTATTTTACAGAATAAACATATGAAATGATGCTGGATACGGAAGTTCGAGTGCTGCCATTTACGGAAGAGGAAAAGGCACGACTTAATGAGAAGGTTGGCGAGAGATTTTTTGCCTTCGAAAATACGACGACTTTTACAACTCAGTCTACTGCCGCAGAAAATAATTTGCACGGGAACTTGCCATTACAATGCCAGCCATATATCATTGATTATACAAAAAACGTGCTCATAAACTATGCCGCAGTTTGACATTATAGCTGGCAATAGAAAACCATCAACATCGAATGACTAATTGACTACTGGACAACATGGCACCTATTTATGAGCTTTTTATGATCCGAAAGCTGGAATTTACTTTGCAGCAGTGATGCTTTGCGAAAACTGTCGAATACAGAATACGGAGATTTACTAGAAGCTAGCCTGTTTTTGCAGGTGAGAAAGATGAAGTTTTCTCGACCACCGCCGAAGTTGCCTAAAACGCGAGTCCCAACTCGTATCTCTTCGCCATGCTCTCTACGGACGTCACGAACATCGGGAAGCACCGATGGAGGGAAGAGTGGTATGTTCTGCGGGTGCACAGACAAACTCGTATCGTGCTATTCCACAAGTATGTAAGGCAGGCGCTAGACTCCTCGAGGAGTATAGCATGGCGATCGCCAGTCGCTAAAGTTGGCGACTGCACATTAGATAGCTATCGATTGCTGACATGAGTTTACATGTCCAATCAATACCTAGTATAATATCTACCTACCTATAATAGTCGCTACGACTGACGATCGCCAGTGCCGGCGACAAAAATCGCCGGCTATTTGATGCGTATCGATCGTCGTCATGCTGTACTCCTCGAGGAGTATAGCGCCTGCCTAATAGAGTCCGAACCATCTTACGATACACTGTCTTATTGCACCGGAGATTTTTTAATCAGCGAGACCTTTCGGATAAGCTGAGATGGATGCTTGATCGTGAACGACGGCTATTTGCGTCATTTGCTCACACAATAAGCCAACGAAACCTTCTCAGTCCTCCTGTAAAATATCAGAGGCAAGAGTTCGTTTGAAGACAGTGGCTCGGCAAGTCTTTTCCTGTGATTTTTTTTGCTTTTCTGCGGTAATTCGACGCGCTGATTCCGAAAACCCACCCTGAAGGGCGCGAAATTGGCAACAACCAGCATTTCCCAAGACCCCTTATTTTGAATTTGAACGAGTGGAACGCTTCCCACCTTGGTTATAGACATAGAGTTGTGGACCCACATGTTCTAGCATTGCGGCATGTCGCCTCTGACGATGTGAGAGATATCACGAGCTCGTCCGAGCGCGTGTAAAAATGGCTTACGCGCACGGGGTTGGGGCAAATTTTCTAGGCAGGGGCAGCATGCTGTGCGCTCGGACTTGATCCGTTCTCAAGTTTGGGGTGCAAGCAACTTCCCATATAAAAATTTTGAGAGTTTGGTTTTGCCAAGGCGAGCCACTGCCTCCAAAGGGACAGTGGACATTGTTTTGAGTGAAATCCTGGCGGTAGTGGGTAAAGGCTGTTCCTTCACGAAGGCGGTTGGTTTTTATACGAAGCGGGTGCAAACAGGGTATTCGAGCATCTTTCATCATCGGGGCCATTGTCACCCGCGCAAGCCTCGTGCATGGGCAAGCGCCTTTGTGTGGGCCTAGTCTCTAGTAGACGCCACTACTCAGTTGCCCCATCCCTAAATCCCAGTTCAGCAAAGTCCTGATAATGCGCTTTAAAAGTCCACAGCTCCTCCCTTGTATGAGAGGGCGTCATTGGTATTTAGGCTTTTGAAACGCTTTTCAGGACTTACAATTAGCGCGTGAATTGGAAGGTGTGGGTGAGACTAATGGTGGTCTACTATCTAACAGCGCCAGAATCTAGCGGGGGCCCATTTGTCAGCCACTGCCTTCAAGGACTTAATGCCGTCTTTCGTGAGCGATGTCTGCAGCCAAGACCTTCATACGGTTTGGCAAACCACTGTATCGTCCCCATTAGGGATCGGCCATACTATTCCTGCTATTCCTACAACTCCTGCGATTCCTGTGAGTCCCGCACAGTTTAGACGCCGCTTAAATGAGCGCGTGTTGCGTAAAACAACACGTAACACGCAACACGCGTTCATTTAAGCGGCGTATAAACTGTGCGGGACTCACAGGAATCGCAGGAGTCGAAGGAATAGCAGGAATAGTATGGCCGATCCCTTACGGTTGCTGCTATTTTGGTCTGCGTCTCTGACCTGCGGCACGCATGGCTATATAACATGTTCGCATGCACAACATGTTGACATCAAGGCCAAAAGTCAAAGAGTCTTGCCAACATGTTGTTGCATGTTGCAAGCATGTTGTTTCATGTTGCCAACATGTCAGATAGCTGCCGCAGGTCAGAGAGCAAGGGTAGCCGCAACTGTGGGAGCGACGTCATACAGGGCTCATCAGACGCAGTGTCGCTTGCATTAGCATCTCCACTCCAGCGCTAGAATCTGTGTTTCTTCCGCAAACATGCTCTCTAATCACCTATAATGCCCCGCCTTTCTCACGCTCACCCTGGGAAAGTGATCAGAGAGCATGTTGAAGAGATGCGGAGTCCAGCGCGGGAGTGGAGATACTGATGCAAACGCCTCTGCTTTTAATAAGCCCTATATACAGTCGAGTAGATTTTCCGCATAATATAGTGTGCTTGCACTGAAGGTGAAATGCGGTAAAATTTGCGCGTAAACAAATAGCTGCGTCCGTGACGCCTGCCAATTGCGCATGCAATGCAATTGGCCGAACAAAGCTCCTCCTTAATGCATTCAGCACATTCACGACCAACCCATTCGATGGTTGCTATGTCGCACTGGAGCATATCTCACAACAATGAGTTTGCGTAATATTTTCTGGCCACTGATGGGTCCTATGTTCAGGGTGATAATCTTACGGAAAATATCCCAAGAGATGTATATAGAAGTTTATTCAGTTTGCCCAAAAAGTTTCATAAACTAGCAAAATCAAAAACTTCAAAAAGCATACCCTATCGGTGAGTCTTGTCTGAAATGACAGGACTAGCGGCCGTATTAATCAACAAACTCTGAGGGTTAAACCCTGTGGCCGTATTCATCAACGAACCCTGTGGCCGTATTCATCAACGAACCCTGTGGCCGTATTCATCAACGAACCCTGAGGGTTAAGCTTACCCTCCAGGGTTAGTTTAACCCTCAGGGTTCATCGGCCGTATTCATCAACCATAGGCTAGGGTTTACCACGGAACGCGATCTACCCGTATCGATCAACAAACCTGTGGCCGTATTCATCAACCCTGAGGGTTAAACTAACCCTGGAGGGTTAAGGCGTCAGCTACGCGTGCGCTGTGCAAACCCACATCAAGGAATGCCTAAGTACGGGCTAAATTCACTTTATACTTCTATTCTTTCACTGTTATAGTAGTATAGTCAACGAATAAGCTTCTGACACTAGTTTTTATAACACATCCCTAGCATACTTGTGCAGCATCCAATCTTACAGCGTGAGTTTATTTTCATGTGTGCAATAGTGCCGTGCAAGTTCTACTTTTGCGCAGTTCGTTTTATACCGGGCTTGTGCTACTCTTTTAGGGGTCAATGCGTGTTATTATAAAGGGGTTCTTCTGTTTTGGCACTTGTCAGAGTGGAATGCCATTTTTCTCTCGTCGCATTCATTTGTCACCAAAGCTAGAATTCTTTTTCTCACGAAGTCATTTTTTCATGTACTTCGAATATGAACTTAAAACGAAGTCGAAACTAAATACTATAACAACAACCAATACCAAATATTACAATACTCGTTGATCGTCTTCCATAAACTATTAGATGCGAGGAAATGTTTGTATGAAGTGTTAGGGTAGAGTTAACCTTGATCTGAGCTAGGGTTAAATTAACCCTAACGAATCACGTAAGTTTAACCTCCAGGGTTAGTTTAACCCTCACAATTCGTTGATGAATACGGGTTAGTCGCTTTCGGGGTAAAATTAACCCTCAAGGTTAGATTTAACCCTTAGGGTTAAGCCTACCCTGTGTTTCATGAATACGGGTTAAACGCTTTCAGGGTTTTAGTTTAACCCTCGGGGTTAGTTTAACCCCGAGGGTTAAACTAACCCTCCAGGGTTAGTTTAACCCTCGGGGTTCGTTGATGAATACGGCCACTGGAGGATAGTTTTAACTCTCAGAGTTCATTGGCCGTATTGATCAACGAACCCTTGAGCATAGGGTAGGGTTTACCACGGAACGCGATCCACCCGTATCGACCAACGAACTTGTAGCCATATTCATCAACCCTGAGGGTTAAACTAACCCTGGAGAGTTAACATCAGGGTAGATTCAACCCTCAAGGTTCGTTTGGTATTCATCAAGCTGCTGAGGGTTAAACTTACCCTGGTGGTCAGCAGAGCATTCACTGACGCTTGTTTAGTGAAGGCGTCAGTTACGGTGCGCTGTGCGAACTCACATCACGGAATGGGCTCCATGTCAGGAGTCACGCCGCGCGCCGTGCCGCTTCGTCGCGAACGTCGCGTCTAAATTTTGTACCCTACAGAACTGCTCGGTGCTAAAGTGGCACGGCGCCAGTCTAGGGGAGTGGGGGGTGGGGGCAGATACATGGCTCGTATCATAAGTAAGATTGCGCCAGGAGTGCTAGCTTGTGTTTTGCTGACATCGCTCGCGGCATCGCTTCGCGAAAAATTCGCGCCGACCGTGACTCCTGACCGTTCCCCACGGAATGCCTAAGTACGTGCTAAATTCACTTTATACTTCTACTCTTTCACTACTATAGTAGTATAATCAACGAATAAGCTTCTAATACTAGTTTTTATAAATACATCTAGCATATTTGTGCAGCATCCTATCGTACAGCGTGAGTTTATGTTCATGTGTGCGGTTGTGCCGTGTAAGTTCTACTTTTGCGCAGTTCGTTTTACTCCGGGGTTGTGCTACTCTTTTAGGGGTCAGTGCGTGTTATCATAAAGGGGTTCTTCTGTTTTGGCGCTTGTCAGAGTGGAATGCGCAACCGTTTTTCCTCGTCGCGTTTGTCACCAAAGCTAGAATTCTTTTTCTCGAAGTCAGTATTTTACGTATTTCGAATTTGAACCTATGAAGTCGAAAGTAAATATGGACGACTAATTTGGAATAGCTATTATAGCAAATCATTGTACATTAATAGCTTACTAGGCATCATCCCTACTTCCTTGCTCCCTACTGTCTCATATCTACGCATTGTATAAAGCTTTTTCGTCAACTCTTGTTCTTAGACTGCTACGAGTTTTGTATATAAGTATGGAGGCGGCAGTTCTCTTCTTCATTTCGTTGATCGTTTTCCATAAAACTATTAGATGCGAGTAAATGTTTGTATGAAGTGCTTGGGTAGGGTTCCTTGCTCTAAGCTAGGGTTAAATCGAGAATCACGTAGGTTTTACCCTCCAGGGTTAGTTTAACCCTCAGGGTTCGTTGATGAATACGGGTTAGTCGCTTTCGGGGTAAGGTTTACCTCAAGGGTAGGCTTAACCCTCAGAGTTAAGCCTATCCTATGTTTCACGAATGCGGGTTAATCGCTTTTCAGGGTCGAAGTAACCCTCCAGGGTTAGTTTAACCCTCAGGGTTCGTTGATGAATACGGCCACTCGGGGTTAGTTTAACCCTCAGGGTTCATTGGCCGTATTCATCAACATAGCATAGGGTAGGGTTTCCCAAGGAACGCGATCAATCCGTATCGATCAACGAACCTCGAGGGTAAATTCTACCCCTGAGGGTAGAAACCCTCGAGGGTAGAATTTACCCTCGAGGTTTGACGTATTCACGATCGTGGCTCATCAGGGTAAATTTAACCCTAGCATAGAGCAAGATTAGATTAACTCTTACACTTCGTACGAACATCAAGTAATCTCTCGATCACTACTCAGGCTTAGCGATACTGTTTTGACAAAAAAAAACACGTATTTATACTTACTATTAAGTCAAACTTCCTATGGCCTCTATTCGTGTTTTTATATGATGTTATCGACCGGTGTTATATTCAGCCGAATGTTACACTAAAAGATTTAGTTTCAAATGAAGTACATGTCCAACTGAGGGCTTTGATATGACGAACTTTGACAAAGCTCGGCTAGCGCTCCCTCAGTCAAATTTGAGTCCACCAATATTAACTATTTTTTACATGATCATAGTGTCGTAACTCAATTAAAAACGCTTTGATTCTAACAATAAGTTCTACACTAATTTTTATAATATGATTAGACGAGACAGAGGACTTAACAAACTTGAGATAATATCAATTGGAAATATGCGTTTGTTGTTAAATAGTATCGTTAGCGTAAGTAGTGAGTCGAGAGATCATTTTATATTTGCACGAAGTGTTAAGGTGGAGCTAACCTTGCTCTAAGCTAGGGTTAAATTAACTCTGATGAATCACCTTCATGAATACGGGTTAGTCGCTCTCGGGTTAAATTTTACCTTTCAGAGTGAATTTAACCCTCAGGGTTCGTTGATGAATGCGGGTTAATCGCTTTCCGGGGTAAGGTTTACCCTCAAGGGTAGATTTAACCCTCGGGGTTAAGCGTGTGCTTCGTGAATACGGGTTAATTGCTTTCCAGGGTTAAACTTACCCTCTAAGGTTAATTTAACCCTCAGGGTTCGTTGATGAATACGGCCACAGTACGACCCACCGGTGGGTCGTTACTGTCTTGAACTAAACCAATTTTTGTTTTTTTCTGCCATTTCGGGCCGCAGCGCTTATACAGCATTATTAGATCATGACCTCCCCATCACCGGTGGAGGTGTATAGTACGAGGTAATCTTATGGGTAGGTGTAAGATAGGCCATACACGGTTGGTAGACCACACACACCGGTGTATGGTAGATGGTAGACCACCCATCGATGGGTCGTATCGTCGTGAGTGTGTTAAAAGTCGGGAACAGGACATCAAAGAATATAAAGAATTGCGGTAGATGTATTGAGAATATATACGAGATACAATATACATATATACAAGATACAATATATATACAAGATCTGGATGCATGATTCCACAGGAATTCGCACGCGTACTTCAGGGCTAGCAGAAATCACGTGACAGCTTTTGCAGAAGCCTATCGATCTCATTCACATGTTGGTTGTTCTTTTACTTTAGAAATCAAATCACTGCTTTTGTACCGTGCTCTTGTTACACCTTAGGGAACGGCCATAGGTTGCCGATGTTGTCGGTGTTGTCGATGTTGTCGGTGTTGTCGATGTTGTCGGGGTTGCCGAGATTGCCGGTCGTGGTAGGACGCCATGATAGCCTCCATGTTTCGCGCGCTCTCTAAACTGTCTCTGACCCCGACAACACCGACAACCTATGGCCGTTCCCTTAGTTTCGAAAGTAGGTGACATCTAATAAAACCTGCTCTGCAACCACTATACAACTGTCATAACGAGGTAGAAAAGGCAAATTCTGTTGTCATCAGCACGAAGCAACTCTGCGTAATTTTCTGAGACAGTAAATCAAGCGCATACCATTTTGTAGTGGGAGTACGGTAGCACTACGGTAGGAGGTATGAACGCACAGTTGCTGTTGTAAGCCTTAGGGTTTTCATGTGCTGGTGGTTACAACTCTTCTCTTTTCATTTGTCGGAGTTTTGATGGTACGTAATCGCTGGCAAGTTTTTGATCACATCACAGTCTTCTAAAAATATCTACTACTTATGGGAATACGACAATGCAGTAGTCACAGAAAGCAAAAGATAGCGTTAGTTATAGTCAGCACAGAGCTTTGTGATTCGTATCCAATAGAGTACGGAATACGATACATCGTATCTGTGCAAAGGTCAGCATGTCACTGATCATTCATGCTTACGTTTGTGGTTCAGAGGGAAGCTCACTTGTCGATGACAGTGGCATATCGTCCTGTGGGTCGGACAAATGCCTCACACCTTCACAACCATCGCCACCTAGCTCTGTTGACGAGTTCGGACAGTGTTCGTCTGTTGTGACCAAATTAGAGGTATGCTTATCTGAAATAAGTAATCGAATTTCGGCAGTTTACCTCTCAGCCTTCTTGCAGCCACCTTTCGATATCACATGTGACAAGTATGTTTGCGACGGTGATGACTGGGTGCCAGATGAGTCAGCAATCGACGTGAAACATGATCTCGATATAGGTGTGTTGCGTAAAGTCTTCCGTGTCCACTATCTTCTTTTTACTGGTTATCACTTTGATTTTGGTGGCGTTGAATGTGTGGTTGCAGATATCAGTGCTGTGGCACAAGAGGATTACGTGAAAGCAAGCACCAGTTTTGCCGCATCGGATAATGCTATGAACGAAGATTCCGTGAAAGTCGACTCCAAGGGCGATATTCTACGTCATAATCATACTTACGCGACTCTTTCTGTTGATGTACCACCGCTTGGTCCAGTGGAAAAAATCGATGCCACCAGCCCCATCGTCTTTAGTGAACGTCTCGAAGCAAGCCTAACCCGAAAACGAGTTGAACTTATAGAAACCTCCCCACTTCCCCGATTACCTATTGGAAAGTTTGAAGAGCCGAAATATGGTCGTGTGCTCCTTTCACGTACTTTTCCGATCTCTTCCTTACAACATATAATGTCCTCCACTATGCAGAATCTGGAGGGTTACAGAGCCCTAGGAAGACCAAGTTTATGCCAGGCTAAGGGTAAACCCCCTCCGGACTCGTCTTTGGTCGCTGACATAGAAGCAGATTTGAATAAGGAGACAGTGGAAGTACGGCCACCAACTGCATCTGTCTTGAAGAAAAAAAGGAAAAGAAAGATTTGTAAGAAGCCAGACGAAGGTGCTTCAGTGCCCGAGATTGCGGGAAAACGACAACAAGTTACGAAGGCTGAAGTGGAGGAGCCGAGGGCGGTAGCATTGAAAAAGGAATGCGTAGTGAATGGCCAGGTCAAGTCGCCGACTGAACCTCCCATCAAAATGATTTTCCGAAAAGATGCCGACAGAAAAATCTCAGCAGTCCGTTTGGAAATCCCGGATCTGGCGAGTACTCACACAGGAAGCTCGGGTCCACCGTTGAGGTAGACACTGTTTCAGAATCGTGAACGTTTTGAACAATTATATTGTAGTTCTCCGAAAGCCGCTGCATCTCAAGCTAAGCCCTCCCATACTTCTTCATCTTCTACTACGTAAGAGTCTCTTCAAAAGTGTTGTTTCTAGTCAAACACTACACTTTTTTATAGAGTGGAAGTTGTGGATGCAAGAGGTGAGAATAGCAGTGGTGGCCTTAAAATCCGAATCAAACTGCATCCATCAGCTGGCAGTGCTGAAGCGACCATAGAAAGTTGGTTATCACGATTAAGGTCTGTTACTTTGTGGTATGCTGATTCTCAATTTCAGCAGCTGGAAATTCGCATCCTGCAGAAGCTGCTAGAGAGACCGAAGCTGAAGTGAAAAAGTAACTTTCGTTAATTTCTTTTCATGGATTGAAAACCTTGTTTCTTTAGGGAAAGCCCTAATCCGGTCGCGAAAACAGCGCAGGATAGTAAAAATGTAGTTGAAGATGATGAGGATGACATCATCATTGTGCATGAGAACATCAGGCAAGCTCTTTAGGAATGCCTTTGATGCCTTGAATTGATTCGAAGATGTAATAAGAATTTTAAAGGATTCATGTTGTAGAAAACCGTCGCCACCAGTGCAGCAAACTCGTCCGTGGGCCCAGCTCAATGTGATGGAGCAATCGTATGTAGCCAAACTGGCGTCGTTGCTGAAAGTCACCGAAGTCGATATAACACGGAGGGATTGGTTTGAGGAAATCTGTGGAAAGGTTCAGTGCTTTTTGTTGTTAGTGTTGTTTGAGGGCGTTATTTTCTTTTCGATACAAACTGAAATACATCTCTTAATGAAGTGTTAGAGGGGGAACCAGTTTTTAGTTTGCCATGAGTTCCGCTTTAGCGTTTAACTTGGCCTGCATGTTTGCTAGTGCTTTTAGGTTGAGAAGACTATCTACCACTTGGATCTCGACATTTCAACGCTAAAAGGTTCGAGAGTAAACTATAGAAAGAGAGTCGAACACGTACGCTTCATTCGCGATCAGTTGCGACTGCTGTTTGCGGAACGTCAAAGCAGATCCTATTGGGACAACAATTACAAGTTGGTCAAGGTTTGAAACTTTTTTGGTTAATGCTATTTCAATGTTTCAGGATGAGCGCAACTTCGGCAAGGAGATGCCAGCAGCGTCGTGCATTTGTGTCTGATTCATCCGGTTTTGCTAGCGGTGAGTCGTTGCACGCACCTATAGGTAGAAGCTTCTGCATGGATTCTAACAAGCATGCATGTGCCAGACCATTTGATGCACCCCTATTACAAAATTAAGCTGAATGTTAGCTGGTCCACTTTATCCGAAGACGAGGGAAATGTTTGTCCATACAATGAATGACAAAAGAATGAGAAAGCTTTTGTGACTGATACAGTTCTTGTGCACCAACTGGACGCAAGCCTGTATCACCATCACCTCAGATCATCATGTACATACATTCAAATTGTCTAAAAAATGAGTGTTAGTAAAGATTAGCATGTGCAGTTTCAGTATCTCTATCTTTAATCAAAGAAGCTGATGAAAGTAATGATACAAGTAGATGAAGAAATTTTTTTGAGACACTTACTTCCCTAATCTCGTACAAAGCCAGGGTTTTTTCTAAAATCAAGTCGCCATAGGGCTTGACGACGTAAGTGCCTTCTACAGTGCTGTGTACATTATGAAATCGTGCGCCATAGCAATCGTTCGCGAGGCACAGCGAAACGACTGAGTTGCTCACATTGAAGAAACGAAGTAGTTGCGCCTTGTACTCGTGAAATTAGGGTGATACATTGCTTGGAAATAATGGTGTTATCTTTACAATATTCGAATTATATGTCACCTCCCACATCTAATGCAAAATGTTCTGGGATAAAATATCTGCTGCGATCTAGAGCAGCAAGGAGGGACTCAAATACCTTTATAGCAGACTTCAAAGTAATAAAAGTGTTCTCAGGTAAGAAAAGTGAAACGAGACAAGTAAAGAGGACGATGTTTGCATAGTTACATTTGGCACTTTCTTAGAATGTATTAAATGTTAATCTGGAAGTTTATACCATATTTGAAAATCATGACTGTTCATTGGGTTCGATTTGCTTGGCATCGAGTTCAACAAAAAAACGAAATCATAAAGTCTGTTGATTAGTTAGCATGCTCTACAAACCAGTGATCTATTGAGCGGGAAAATTTTAAATTCAAAAAGTACTAGTGGATATCTCTTGACTGATTATTGTTACTGGATTGGACTTGCTGTGTGGCTGTTACCTTATTCTCTCTAATACTCATCCATCCTACATTCTTTTGCACTTCCTTGGGAACTACTGATGAAGGGGCACCAAGGAAGTCACATACCCGGTCTAGTTCTTAGCCCCGAAACCGGTTATGTGTGGAAAATAATTGATCTCTCTCCTTTATCATGAATGTTAACACATTGGTAATAATTCTCTTGATATCACAGTCTTCATATCTTTCGTAGTGGCACCTCTGCTTCTTGGCTCAAACGGCGGAGTTGAGACTCAGACCGAGAATTATTCGGACTCCGGTGGTTTCCGCAATTCCGTCATAAAAGTTCTGTGATTCCATTTCCAGATGGGAAGATTTGTGCCGATCACAATTTTCGGGCAAATTAGTTTTCCAGAGAATGCAAAAAATTGATTTTGTTTGGTTTGCAATGTTTTTTTTTCTTGAAGCATAAACCTGTCTGGAAACCTTAGACCAGTCAAGACTCTATACAGCTTTCAATTTCGTAAAACCTTTAACAGTTGTCCTGAATTCTATTAGTTTCACGTTTTAGCGTGCGCCTAAAATCTCCAGAGCACGGTTAAGCTTTTGCTATCTTTGCAATCTCTGCTGTGAGACCAAGCGGACCAAGCACTGTTTAAGATTTGAAAAACCGCACGATCAAACCTGTCCTACACTAAACTGCATAATCTGCTAACCTGACAGGCAGGAAGACTGCAGCTCTGGAGTATATATCCTATAACTTGCAAGCTATGTGACGACGAAGTGGATAAACAGGCAGGCGACTATGCGTAAAAATTGGGGAGCTCGTGGATGGATTGAGCAAAGAGAGGTTATCTACTTCTTTAGGCACGCATCGAAAGTGCGACATTGAAATGCAGAGTTCGAGATCTGTGTCTCAATTCTGTGGAAAAGTGGTGGCGTGAGAAACCTTGCAAGCATGCTGGATTTTGCTCAGCTCAGCATGAGCAGAACAGAGGAATGCTCAGCCATCACAACGTTCTGACTGGTATCCGCATAGCCCATGCTCTTTGCCACCCTCTATGCATTGGACGTGTGCTGGTGAGTTTCTTTGCTGAAAATGGCTCTTGACAGTGAGTTCACTTGACCCCACCTGCACCTCACCGCTGACTTGCACCGCTTTACAGGCTTGTATCTCAGCCGGCAGTCACTCCACGAGCCTGCGAGTAGGCTCATTCGAAAGAGCGTGACTTTCTGGACACGATGGTATGCAAGAGAGTTGGGTATGAGAAAAAGCAGAGATTTGGCGGATGGGGTGACAAAGCGCAGCTATTTTTCAGTTAAAGTTGAGCAAAGCTTCTTTTGCCACCAGTTTCATCCTGGAAGTTCAAAACCGTCAATTTTCTTGTAATAGATCCATTTCGTAGCTCTAAGACCGTTCTAGTGTTGATAAGAGTCTTCACTCCATTCACCTCTAACGCTGCGCTTCGTCACCCCATCTGCCAAATCTCTGCTTTTTCTCATACCCAACTCTCTTGCATACCATCGTGTCCAGGAAGTCACGCTCTTTCGAATGAGCCTACTCGCAGGCTCGTGGAATGACTGCCGGCTGAGATACAAGCGTGTAAAGCGGTGCAAGTCAGCGGTGAGGTGCAGGTGGGGTCATGTGAACTCACTGTCAAGAGCCATTTTCAGCAAAGAAACTCACCAGCACACGTCCGATGCATAGAGAGTGGCAAAGAGCATCCATCTTATCTGAACAGCCTTGTTGGAATACCTTGAGTAGGTTTCCCATGTGAAGAAATTTGGCTTGAAGAAGGGAATTAGAATTTATTTTTTGAAAAGAAGCAAAACAAAATTCAAACTTGGGTTTCTTTGGAAGTAACCACTACCCGATTATTGTCCTCGATAACTTCTACAATACAGCATGCTTACCTGTCCGGATAACTTCTGTTTTTGCTCCAAGAAAAGACCTAACAGAAAATTTTCGCGTTCGAAGAATTATTGTCCGAGACATTGTGACGCGGCCATTTTCGGACTTTTTTTCGAAAAAGATTTTTTAAACTTTTATATGCACGATTTCCAGAAAGCGCAATATGTGAATTGTAGCTCTTGGTGAGCACTATCACCCTATGCAATCCAATCATTTTTTCATCTTCGTTTTCCATCCGAAAATGAGCGATGAAAAAAGAAAGGCGGCTTGTCCGCAACTTTTTGGCGGTCACTGTATATGATATCCATGGATATCGACGATATCCATTGAGTGCCACCTCAAAAGCGGTCAAAACTCAACATTGCAATGTTTTCTACAAAACTCAACACTCAAATGCCCGAGTTCCCGAGAAAAATTTGGCAACGAAAATAAAGATTGTTCTCATGTCCTATTCCTCGCCCACAGACCAGTTTCCATGGGAAAGAAATGCTCCACGATCCGCCTAAATAGCGATCTGCAAAAGAATTGCTCTACAATCTCCCCTACAGATCCATATTTCAAGAGAAAAGTTTGCCCTACGAAACACTTACATACCGATATTTATTGGAAAATTTTTCAAACAGAATAGCCGAGCCGATTTGAGAACTACCCTATAAGCCTTCTGCAAACCAATATTTTGAGAGAAAATTTCTTACGGCCACCTACAGAGTGGTATTTTGAGAAAGAATGGCCTTACAAACCCCTATAGTAAAAATATTGGGATAATGTTATACGGGCCCTTACAGACCAATATTTCAAGGTAGTCGCATGGCTGCATACAGTGATATTTCAAGGAAAAAACTGTCCTACGGGCCGCCTGCAGGCCAATAATTAAATGCGAGAAGGACTGAAATAGAAAGAATGCCCTATATTTCGCTTACATACTACCAATTTGAGGAAGAACTGCCCTGTGGGTGCTTGAAAACCGGAACTTTTCAGAAAAAAGATGCCTTTCAGAAAGAACTGTCCTACGAGCTTCTCACGAACCATTTTTTTTTTTTGAAAAATTGCTCTATGGACGCTTACGAACGTCACTTCGAAAAGAACTGCCCTATGGGCTGCACACAGACCAAGATTTGGGAAAAAACCGTCCTAAGAACCCTTCAAACCAATTTTTTTGTAAAATGTCCTAAAAGCCGCTAATAGGTCAGTATTTCAAGAAACAACCTCCCTACTCTATGCTGCAAACCCCAAGCCGTACTATCCTAGATGCCGTTGACAAGTTGAAAGATCTGCTCTTTGACTACCAACAGAATGGAATTTTGAGAAAGATAGAGGCCCACGAGCTGCCGATTTCGAGAACGGAAGAACTATCCTCATTGAGCATCACCGATTTTTCTTGAACGAAGGGGCAGCCATGAATACTTTAGCAGGAACACGAAGATGTGAACAAATTATTAGAGCAAACACATGGACGTGTAAGGACTAAATCATGTCGAAAACCAAACTGGCTGGTACCAATGTGAACTCAACAAAAGCGATACCGGTCATATCTACATAGTACAGAGTTGTGAAAGAGCGGGGGGGGGGGGGACTGTTAGCAATCCAACGAGAGTGTCGGCACTCCGAAAGTTTAACCTTTTGTAAATGTAGTTTTCGAGCTACTACCAAGATCGGTAACAATACTTTATTGGCTGCGTCGACGCTCCGACATTCAACGCCTTCTTTGGAGCCTGGAAAATCGAAGTCAAGAGTGGTACGGTCAGGCGCTAGGAACAAAGACGAAACAAGATCGAAAAGGAGATTAGTCTAGAGAGCAGAACCAGGGCCAAAAACACTTTTAATTCACCTTAGACGTAGCACAAGCGGTAGTTGAAAAACAGATCACCTTATGCCAAATTGTGCCTCAACCTCACTTTTGTACGCCAACGTGACCTGACCTCACAAATCCAGAGGGGTTGATAAGGTGCGAGTTTGGTGATAATCGCGATGCATTCGTATTTTCTGTTCATTTTTGGATCTTAGCAGCTAGCAAGAACGCTCCCAACGTTTTGCGTGGTAGGATTTCGAGCTCAAACGACAAGATCTTCACTCCAGTACTTCAGCGTTTTCGTGGCTGTTCTACAATATTGCCTCCAGAGGTGTGGAGGACTTTGACTTATTTAGACCATCTAGATGTTCTTTGATACGAACACAAAGAGGGCGGCCGATCTTTCCGATGTAGGTGTCGCCACATGATAAACATTTGGTCAGATAAATCACACCTGACACCATACAGTCACCCTCTCTGCTATATGGACATATTACACAGCCGAGGGTCAAACAGATACGTCATACATAAGGTCGCGAACCAGTGGCCGTATTCATCAACGAATCCAGTGGGTTCCGGAACCCACTGGGTTCGTTGATGAATACGGCCACAGAAGGCGTTGAACGCGGAAACGTCGACGTCAGCCAATAGCATTGTTGCCAATCTTGGTAGTAACTCGAAAACTCTACAAGTGATTATCATGTTAGGATTCAAGCACAGCCGAACAATGCCAATATAACTTTTTGCACCTAATCGCCGCACCCTATTCGAGAAACCTCCAGGGGAGACAATGCTTATCCCCACGAAAACACGCTTGGCCTTGTTGACAAATCTGCACCCTAGAATGATAACGTTGAGCGACTATGCGCTCAGGAAGCTTTTTAGCGAACGTTTTGGAGGCATTGTCCGCAAACTCATTTTTTAGCTTTTTTATTTCATTTTCGCTGAGTTCAAAATCACCCTAGGAAGCGCAAAACGGTCAGAAAAGCCTTTTTCCAGAGTCCAGCTTTGAATTTGAAGGAGTAAACAGTTTCCGCTATAACGGATGTTAGAGGCACCGTCTACCCAAATAAATCCTCGATTTTTGCGTTTTTGTCCTTTTTAGCAACTTTGCGCCCGCTGGGTTCCAGCCTAAAATTGAACAAATTAGATATGAGTTTTGAATGATTTCCAGAATTCGCAGCAAACGAGCACTCCTTGCGCCTGCCGGTAAGCCGCGGGTCAGCTGCAGGCCCATCGCAGGGCAGAGACGCAATATCGCATTCGATCGATCTTGAGCTTTGCGTCTACTGGGCGAAATCTTTGAGTGGGCGTTACGTTCATCCCCCCACTTGCTAGATAGAGCCAATGTGGCGAATTTGCCCTTCGAAAAATTTTCGAAGCGATTTTCTCCCTTTGGAAAAAACTTCAGACAGCGTGAATTGGGCACTTATGCAGTTGAGGGCTCCGCAACTGTTAGACATCGAAATCTCATAGAACCCATTTTCGATGGAAGGTGCCTTTAAGATGCAGAGTCCCTATAAGACCTTAAGTCATGACCAAGGCTGAGCAAGAGGTTAGGCACAAGTCGAGCTGCACAATTGGAAGCGTAAAACGCTGACTTCAAATCTGTCTTTCGTATCTGCTGAGCGCTGAGATGAAGTTATGAGCAGTTTCATCGCAGTATAATCGTACATGAATTGAAATTAGGAACGTGAATACCTTTTTGGCTCATTCTCAAATTGGACTCTAAGAAGCAACCTACCTGGATCTTAGCCAGCATTAAGCCAAACACTGAATTTTGTATTCGATTTTGTTCCAAGCATGCACGATTTCTTTGCAATATAACGGCCTATGATTTTGTCCACCGAGCGTTTAGCAGGTAAAAGAAGTAGACTTGGAAATGATGTTCAGGTACATCCACTGGTATGCAGCTTGTTAGGGATAATCACTTCAGCTATTGAATTTTCCTTTTGGATGTGTTTCTCAAATCCTAAACAATGCTAACGTATGCGCGAAGATAATGATATAAGAATTCTGCTACAGAGTAATACTTTTCCCTTCTTCCTTTTTTCAAGTTCTTGTTCCCATATTTGGGCAGATGTTGGACTTTTCCATTTCTGCAGTTAATACTGCTGTTGGTTATTACTGCCTTTCAGAATGTGGCACTTCGGCGAAAGCGAACATGGTGCGACAACCTCCAGCATTAAATCGACGAGGAAAGCTGGATAAAATTGTTGAAAGGTTGCGCCCAGCTGGTTAGTCATCAAGCTTGTTGTTATGCTGCGAGGAGGTTATCGGTTTTTTTAGAAATCATTCTGAAAGATCCAGTGCCGTCCTCGGAAGTTTTCTTCGCCGTTCACAGTCATCAGAGATTAGATATGCTTTCAAAAGTTTGGCACGATTTACCAAAATATAAAAAACCCCGCGGCAGACGTTCTATTGGCAGAGGCAGTGTGATGGGTTGGCCCAGGAGCTTCGATCCTCCGAGATCATGTAAGTTTGTATATGATGCTTCATTAATGAATGCTTGAACTCACATTTTTAGTTATGATGGATGTTGACGGTCGTGCAGTCATTTTACCTTTGGAGCAGAAGTATGGTGGTCCATCAGGTATCTTCCCATTTTTTTTATCTGATCATCAGGCGTATGGTGCGATCGCTCGGACCTAACAATAAGTCAAAATATACCCACTTATTCATCGCTGCTGGAATTGAATGTGCAAACTTTGAGCACTTCGACGTAGATCTGTAGTTGGGAAAGAATTCTCGAATAACTCAGTAGCATTCAACTGCTTTTGCTTGCTGTTACTAATCATCTTCGAACAATTTTTAGGCTTCAAACTTTACTGGAATGATTGCACAAATTTTTATTGAAATTCCGGAGAGAAAATTTATCGATGTGTAGCCATTCGTCAGAGAAAGGCATGCTAGTGGGGCCTATTTGAGGTGTACTGGTGAATCTAATGGGTTGAGGTGAGGAAGGGGAGGGCAAGGCCGGGTAGCGAAATTTTTGGAAGGGAGCTTGAGTCCTAATCATGTTAATGCTTATCTCATCCTATCGAAATAGACCTAACATCCGGTAGAGCAACGAAAGCTCTTGAGCATGGCGTTCAAACATGTATAGGCTTTCATCTACTTGAAGCGAGCAAGCATCTAAAAATTTGCTACTAGCAAAACTGGATCTCTATACAAAAAAGTCCTGGGCTCTCCAACTTGCTCAAATGCTCTCACATCAGATAATAATTAATCACGGTTGCTACATTTTTGCCGTGGCCAGAAATCTAGAAGTGGGGAACTGGCATGCTTTTGCTAATGCAGTCCTGGGCTTCTTTCACATAGCATATACTACAACCTTTGAAAATACAATGATAAACTTCTAGACTCTTACAAGGTAGTTTTCGAGTATATAAAATCATTTAAAATGCGAAAAGAGCGGCGTTTGTGATTGATAAGCACAGTAGGTGTATACATGAATGAAGTGAATGATTGAGCAAGTAGTTCTGTGGGATTTTTCAATGAGATTTTTTCGGGTAATTGGTGTCCACAAGTTTTCAGACGCTATGTTGTGAAGCTTGCTTTGTTTTATCAAAGAGTAGTTGTTCCCCAGCTGAATAAAATCAAAATTAGCAGACAAAGTGGTACTCAGGCGGGATATTTGAGAATGATGTGATGTTTGGAATCCCTGAAAAAGTGGGCTAATTTCTTTGCACACTTCGGATAACATGTATGTTAAGTGCCATCAATTTCAGGCCCCATGTTCAGTCAAGGCCCAACTGCAGCATTGGCTATCGGAAATGATCAATGAGCTGTTCAATGAGGTGCAATGGCTATCTCATTTGAGCTTTTTTTGTACAGAATCTGAGCAAATTAGTTACTTGCTCTGATACCACTAGTCACTAGTTTTAACATTGCATATTGAGCGCTGTCCCATAATAATGTAAGCAAGCATTTTGCGGGAACGTGTTTTTACATGCACATTTGCGCCCGGTTCTATTTTATGTTTGACATCCCTGCGAGGTTCTCATATTTATGATTCAACCTAAATTAACAGTCTCGATTGCCTCTCAAATAGGAATTTTTCTAGTAGAAACTGTACTATTTCAAAGGTGAACGGACTGATTCCAATATTCTACCACTCATGCATGACATATGCTAGGTATTGAGTGGTTGTTAGTACGAATTTCTGTAAATATTGTTTCTTGACTTGGTGCTTTGAGATATGCAGCTTACCATTGTTTCTGTTTACTTTGTTACTTATGCGGCAAATTGTCGCTATTGTAAAATCTCACTCATGTTCCTTATGTAAATAAATGTTACAAATCAGGTTGATATGCTTCATTATTATTTGTTTACAAAGTTCATTACATTTTTTGGCTCATCATCAAGGTATTTGGATGATAACGAACCGTCCTCTAGCTGCTTTTTCTGTCACTTGATCAGTCGCTAAGGTTTCAAATCCATCGTTCATTCCATGCTCTTTAGCTATTTCTTTATTCCGGACTTTCAGAGGTTAATGGTAACAGGGCAGATAGCATAACATCTTATTCACAAAACATTTTGGGTTCCTCCAAAAAAGTTCTAGAGGAACCAAGGACTTCCCTTTTTTGATATTTTCAAGATAACTTTTTTGAAGGGCTTTTTTAACATCGTGATAGATCACATCAAAGCCAAGCTTTTGCATTTGGAGGTTCCAAAATCTGATCATAGTAGTACCAGCTCTAAAAAGAAGTAGGGTCTGTCGCTTTGTAGGGGAAGGAATTTTGTTCACGTTTGTGCGCACTAGTAAAGGTAAGGTGTAAGTTACATCTGCGAAGCACCCTTAAAACGGAATTGAGGAACTATATTCTAGTGAAAAGTGATCTTCATCGATTTATCTAACATGCTTACTGATCAAAACTCTACAAAGTAGAAGACGACCATATATTATACTTGTTCACCTCAAAATTACTTCCAGCAGTCCCAACCCGGGAATGCAGAAGCTAGAAAAACACTGCATTAAAGAATGTTTACTTCATCCGTCTGTCATCAATTATTCGAAAAATCGAAAGGAAGGTTCTAAAAATGAGCTAAAGTTGGCTTTAAAAGGGTGGGGTCGAATCCACGGTAATTTATGCGTTACCATGTTAGCAAGTGATCCGGAGCATGACCGCTGGAAAGAGGAAGAAAAGGTGCGTTGAACACTTTTTAAAGCTCTTGTGTATCCTCCTTATCCCACATGAGATGATAGGTAACAAACAACAGCACGAACTTTCGAAACGACATTACAGTATCTGCTTGTAAGAAGAGACATAGGTGTGTCATGACTTATCAGATCTTTTCTTAGTACGTAATGCTTATCACGATTCATTGTCAAATTTCAAGATGCTTAATTCGCTAGCTTGACAAGAGGTTGCGAAGGAGTGCACTTCAGACCGGTCCTCCGCGTAATAAAAAACCTTCATGTCATCTGCATACTTTTAAATCTTTATCTCATAAACGTGCGGAGCCAGAGCCCGGCATGCGTTGGTTCGGAGCATTTTTGGAAAAATTTACGAAGTCCCTTCCGATGTAAAAATCAGTAGAGGAACCATTATTCTACCAACATAATAATGAAAGAGCAAAAAAAGCGCATTTTGAGGTATATAAGCAGGGCCCGGCACGAGGTCGGCAAATGACAAGCTGGAAATCGTTTTGGGGCCGAAAAGCAAAGGGGAAATCGTTTTTGCGGGGTCCGGGGCGGAGCCCCGGAAAAAAATTGGTAGTTCATGCTCACTACTTATCTTGACATGTTATGTGCCTCAACAGGCGAACACTGGAGTTCGCGCGCGTCAAACCGCGCCGTCGCTAATTGCCGCACGCGCGACGTCGCCCAAGAGATGCTATTTGTAACTGCATACATGACTAGTTCTCAATGTATGTGTAACGATATGGCACCAAATTTTGTACGCGAACGGAGAGAGGCTAGTGGAAACATAGTATGAAAAATTATGAAAAACTTATGTGAACGGAACGAGTAATTAGCATTTTTTCCGAGAATTTCGCAAAACTGGTAAATGAAGATGTGAATTCAAACGGCTCGTTTGGAACGCGCAGATGAACGATATGGTATGAAACTTGGTGAGTACATGCACACGGGCTTGCAGGGCTTAACTGAGGAGCTTCATTGAAAAATTATGTGACTGAAGGTTGTGGCAAACGTTTTTCTGAAAATTTTGCGCTACCAAAGAAATGGAAAAATGGCTCGTTTGCAACGCAGAGGTAACGAAATCGCGCGGGTTTCGGTGTGTATATGCGCAATAGGACTAAGTAATAATGTATGAAATATTATGAAAAACTTATGTGAATGAAGAGCGTGCTTAACTAATTTCCAAATTAGGTCGGCATTTGCCGACCTAATTCCCACCTGAGGTCGGCAAAACTCTCAATTCACATAATTTTTTCAAAATTTTTACATAAATCTGTTGTACACCTAAAGTTTACTACATGGTGAAATTTTGGTTCCGAAACTCCTCCTCTTGTCCTTTAGAGCCCAAAATCGCATCAGCAGCCTAGCTTTCTAAGATAGAAAGCGCGCCCCAGTCAATCGATACGCGCGGGAACGGCGTCTCTCATTCCTATGACTGCGTTTCTTTGATATTTTCTCATTCCTTAATCATTTTTCTTGCTTATTTTTCTTCCTGTTTTCTATTTTGATACAGCTGAGGAGTAATTTGAGGAATTTGAGCAATTTGGGCGCTTTTGAGCGCTTTTAGGCGAAGTGTGGCCGCTAATCTCGTCGCACAAGCACAAAACGTCATTTTTGGGCTCAAGAAGGTATTCGTAAAATTTATTGGGATCAAAGGGGAATTCGTTTTGGAAAACCCCGTTTGCCCACCTCGTGCCGGGCTCTGTATATAAGTAACAAGAAAGCGAAAAAAAGCATTCTAACCGAAAATTCCAAAACGTACAGAAAAAATAAAGTCGGCATTAAACTTCCTATTAAAAAAAATTTGTGAATGCAACTATGGATTTCTGAATGTTTGTCTCGAACTATAGCAGTCATATAACGGTTGTGCAAGTAAGAATTGAATCAAGACAGGGGACATCAATGGTTATCATCCTGAGTTCGTCATATCGTGACAAACGCTATCGAATGCTTCCCATGTCTCAGACATTCGCGGTTAAGTCCCACTGGTGAAAACCGCGTGTTCCGATAGATGACTGCGGGGCACAAGTAAAATGCTTCGCAGGAAACCCGGGACTCCTGCATTTCGTTCGGTATAATGCTGCGCAACATGCAGCTGTCTCGAAGTCTTCTACTGAGAAAATTGGGAGCACCTGCGCGGGACCCGATGATGCCGCGGTCCAGTCACCGGCGGAACTCTCTCTTAGGCTGCGACGCTGCGGGACGCGCGATATCGCAACGATCAGATTAGCTGCTCACTGGGCTTTTCCTCAAAACTGGTTCTCCTTCAGAGTACAAAAATTGCGTTCTACGCACATTTCATAAAAGTGCTGTGCACAATACAGAGTTAGAATTATTAATTTATCAGCTTTTATGATCGAAATTATTAAGATCGCGAAAAAAGGTTAACAGAAACAAATCTGGAATAACTAGGTCAACATCTTTGGTCAAATCTATAAACCAAGTCGATCTTACACTTTCGGCCTCTTCATCTTGGTCGTGTTTCGCGTCATTCGCCTGCCTATGCGCCAAAGACGCATCCGTCGTTTTATGATATAAAAGTGTCAATCCACCACTAATTTGAGCAATCATATATGCACATTATTTGCGCATCAAACCGATACGCTCGCACATTTGCTCTGAATTTCAATTGTTCATATAGGTTTATTAAAACAGTCTTGCTATAGAAACCCATAACTCTTCCTATAACCGCTCGTGCTAATTCATTCCAAGTTAGCCCCGCCTCAGACAACTGTCAAACGTTTTGTCGTCGTTTCATCGTCGTCTCCTTGTCTGAGATAAAATCTAAATTAATGTACATTAGGAGGACATTAACACCTATAGATCGCCTATTTCTAGCTGAAGGTCTTCTGACAGAACCTCAACAGCATCGAGAACGAAATTTATAAATCCATTGCAGCAATTTTAGAAAAATCATCAATCACTCATAAAATTCTAACCTAACTTTCGGGTAAGTCGCGCAAATGAGGGAATTTTCCTTATTCTATCGGATTACTTGTATGCAAACTTAAAACTTTTGGCTCACAGGCCTTAGTACGCACTTCCGATCAGGATAGACCCGAATTTTAGCTACTTACATTTAAAAAATAGAACCAAAAATTCATCAATAATAGGAAATGGTCATGTTTGTGTATTTGTGTGCCCCAGAGAGCGGGTGCAGCTTTCAGAAAATTTAATCATGTTTGCATTCTAAAAGTCGATTAGAGTGCTGCTATCGATAGCAAATGCAACAGGTGACCTTAAATGGAGGGATCCCATTGTTCCTGGACCTTGTCAAAATTCTTCGCTTGAATCCACATCCTTCCAGTAATGTATTTTCATTGCACTTCTCTGTATGATTACAAAGTTCTTCATAATCGCTTACTATTTCTCACGGATTAGAGAAAATTGTATCCATCTAGAAAACTGCATTCACTTCTCCATTGTGGGTCCACTTAACTGAGTGCTTAAGTCGGGTTATGATGTCACTTTATCCTTCTATGATTTCAGTTAGGGTCCTACAGCTGAGTCCGATCATAGTTTCATTGGCTCGATTGTGCCTTAGATATATTTGATTTGTTGTGAATTGATGCAATTCACTTCCTTCAGTTTTGTCACCATTTGCCACGGGAAAGCGTTTCTTAAATTGAACCACCAGATCGCATAACTCATTACCTGCCGTCCTCGTTGAGATTTTTTAGCAAGTTCCATCTCTTCCAAAGTCCTTACATAAGTATAAAAATCATTTGCGAATACAATCAACCACAGAGAATTTTATCGCTCATGAAGGACACTGTAACTATCTCCGCTCAGGATAGGATCTTGTATTCCTTTTACACTATTTCCTTTTGCACCTTGACGGAAACTGCATGTTATCACTTAAAAACAAAGTTTTTTTTGTAATATACCCTGATAACACAATATAACGGACCAGATGTAAGATCCAGATTATAATACTGCGGAAATTCCCCATTGAAACAATGCTACGCTTACGAGTAAAATCCGCTAAATTTGCCTAATGACAATTTCATCAGATTGAAATGTGAAAGAGTTAATAGAACTGCGATAACAGCAGATTAATTAGTATAAGGAGAGAACCCCCAAAACTATGCGTCTTTGGTAGCAAGCAAGTTCATTACATTGACAAAGGTACAGTGTTTATCGAAGCTTAGACAAACAACG